TATGGTGTTATGTCATAGTGTCATTTCTGTCTCTACATGGTCACGCGTTAACAATTCTCCTCTGCTTTCTGTATCGCGCACGGCGGAGTTCCGCCACACACACAGGTGATCACGCTAGAGCGGCTTGGGCCGCATTTTCCTGACCAAACCTGACCCCGAGCCCGGTGCAGTTTGTCAGCTGACAAAGTTATTGAAATGGACAGTGTGTTAATAACCAACAGACTGCTGTTACGCACAGACAAACACGCTGCTCGCACAGCAGCTCAGCACGGCACTCATACTGAGCTAGTGTTGCATTCAGGCGTTGTCACGTAAATAACAACTTCCAACACTTAAATAGGTCATAGCACAAAACAGCAGCATGTCAAGTGACTTTTTACTTTATTATATTCAATAAAATTGTATGTTCCTAAATCTTGAGACACCTCATATGTAAGCTAGACAGACATTTCACCTGCTCATACTGTGCACACATGTACTGTATGTACTTAGTCCTAAAGAGCCCTTATGGTAGCCTACCAGTATATACACAGAAACATCCCAGCAGGCTGTGCTTTGCAAGCATACAAAAAAGTTTCACGCATTTGAAAATTATTTTTCATGTGTGTGCTTCACCTCCGCTGCTACAACTCCATCCTAGGGGAAACACTGCTGTGTGCGTTTTGTGCAACAGGTGGATGTGGTAGTCTACTGGTAGAGTAGAGAGAGAGCTAAGTAGCAAAATATATTAAACCCGGTGTTAACACAGCAGAACTGCAGAGAGGGGTGAAAAATAAATAGAGGTGGGCATGGCTCAAGTAGGGCGCAAAATTATAGACGGAGAATGATTGACAAATTTTTCACTTTAAGTCCTGACACTGTCATATTTGTGTAGGAATGAAGCTACAATATATGACATATGTTGTTTTAATTAATAAATACAGTGTAAATAAAGATTACATAACATAAAAATAATTGCAGTCTTTGTTATTTGATAGCCGCTTAAATTAAACATTTTTTATAGGGCAAGTAAAAACTGACTTCGGGCAAGTAGATCTCTGACCAACTTGCCCGACAGGGCAAGTGAAAAAAAAACCTTAGCGTTGAACCCTGTCTCCATTCTGCAGCACCACTGTGAGTCCATGACCAAGGCTGTGTCTGTGGTTAGTTCACATGTCTGTAATAACAGCTGAATAGGCAAGAGTCTGCTTTCTAAACTGTTTAAATAAGTTGAACAGGTGGAGTGAAGATGATGTTGTCTGTATGCTGCTGGTTACAAACAGGCTCTGTCGTGAACGATACACTAACATGAGTAACAGATTCTGTGTTTTTGTGTTTTTAACTGAGACGGGTCACTGATGCTGTTGTGCCCTCATTGTTCTTTTTAAAGTTTGCTGGAAATTATGTAATGTAGTTTCGTTGTGTTTTATCTAGAGTGAGCGCTGCACCGGACTCCATTCACTAAATAGCCTTTAAAGGTTCCAGTGTGTTAGATTTAGGGGGATTTAGTGGCAGCTAGTGGTGAGGACTGCAGATTGCAACCAGCTGAAACTTCTCCTGGTTAGAATTCCTTCAGTGTTCATAGTTCAGGAGGTTTTTAGTGGGGGCCGAATGATCTGTAGAGGTCTCTTCCTCTCCAAATTAAGATACCAGGTGATTTAAACCAGTAAAAACACTGAATAAAGCAGTTTCCTGTTAAAAAAAAAACAGTGTTTTTCCGATGCCCTCATCGCAAGGGGCTGCTGAATGTGGTGGCTGATGTGAAACACGAATGTTGTCAATATAAACAGCACGTTCTAAGGTAATGAAAACACAAAGATTCTTATTTTCAGGTGATTATACACTAAAGAAAACATACTTAATATATTATATTCCATATCTATCTATATATCCCTCTAAATAGTACACTGGACCTTTAAATGCTAAATTGCTTGTCAGAAACCAGTCATAAGGTAACTTAGGAGGCCATGTGCACTCTGATGAATTTGACATGCAGTCACCATGCCAGTCATAATTTTGTTTTAATCAAACTCAACTCCTGATGCTCTTCATCACTGTTTTGGAAGAAGGAAATAAAGGGAGTAACAGGTGAAACAGCTTTAAAAGTGACATGTTTTATTATTGAATAAATGCTGTGCTGTGGATAAAACTTAGGCCGATGTGAAGAGTGGTTCATGTGGAATGTGGACTGGTAATTATTTGGAAAGTTAACTCTAAAGTGTTAAATTAGAGAAGAGAATTTGGTGTGGCAGTAGCTGGTAGATTTTCATAGATCTGCACATGTTAAATAAGATAAAGGTTTAGAGTTACTTCTCAAGCATGAAGGGGTTTTCCTATGTGAGAAAAAAACCCTTCTTACTATGTAATATTGATGAACAGAGACAAGTATTTAGAGGTTCATTCAATTAAGAATCTCTACAGTCTCATAATGAGTTCCAGTAAGAGCCAATCACAAAGGAGTGGTGATTGCAGCAGGGCCAAGTGTTCCAGCTGCAACAATTATTGATTATTATTGACCTTT